GCCTAAGTGTTCAAGGGAAGTTAGACTGGTACAGAGTTTACACCAAGCTTGAGGAGCGACAAGGGAGTGGGTGTCAGGTGAATGACAGCTCAGGAGCTCGCATGGAGCGAGGCTGGGTGATGCAGTCTCACTTCTGAGCCATCTCAGGCGATGGCAAGATACTTCTAGAAAAAGTACCAGATTCTCAGGACTGTCTCCCCCCGTTAGGAGGATATTTCCTCTTCCTAAGGAAATGCTGTCCTTTTGTTTCCCTTTCACCCTCGACTGTCAGGCTCTTCTTGCTGAACAGAGCTGTACCCCAGGCAAACCCATCATCCGGATGCTTTCAAAGCATACATTGGTCACCAGGTGGGGTCGACCATCTAGGAATCTGTGTCATTCAGTGAGAATGGAGAGTTATTAGATGGCAGAATGGTGGCCAAGGCTCCCTCTACACGTCTACATTCCCACCCAGGTTCAAGCTGAGAACAGTGAGGTCCAGGAGCTGGGCTAAGTGGCATCAATGGAGAGAACTCAGCCATCGTGGGAAAGCTAACGGGGCAACTGGGAGGCTGATGTGTTTGTCTATCAGGATGCTTCTGCTGATAAACCATCAACTTGGTAGTTGCTAAGTGTTCTATGGTCCAGAAAGTTTTCCCTTCCAGCTCATCAAGTCCACATCCTTCCACATGCCCAATATTCCCATGAAAGAAAGAGAAGCCATGCTAAGCACAGAGAGTGGGCTGTGGGGGACCTTTATGACAATACACTTGCTAAGATAATTATAAGCAATGCATACGGAGCCGCACACAGAGAGTTGAAAGGAACATACAACTGTGGTTCCTACCATCTTTCAAAGGGATCACAGAAGAAGACATGGCCTGTTGAAATTCTTGCCCTGGGGCTTCCCAAGCAGTGCTTCCAAATCCATCATTTAACCCGTGATTGTAGAAATACAACATGGATTCCCAGGGATTTGCAGAGGAAGAAACTTTCTAGCCATCACCTAGATATGGGCTTCTCAAATCAATGTTTCACGGAAATCTGTAGAATACATGGACCACAGAAAAGAGAGTCCATGAACCAAATTGTTTTAGGAGAGATTCCAGGTGCAACAAAATTAGACAGATTTCTCTAGTACAGGGTACGGCAGATTAGAGACGGCCACAGACTCTGTGACATTGCCTGTGTTCTCTGCCCCTGACGCTGGTGGCTGTCTCTGACTGAGTGCAGGGCCCAGGCCTTATGTGACTGGCGACATCCACGTCTGATCTCTTGCTGGGCTTGCTCTCCAGGGCCCCTGCCAGCCGCCCTGTGAGTGAGCCATTGTGGGCTCGAGCCCACTGAGCCTCCTGTGACTATCACCTCCACCAGCATCTGCCTGTAGTGGTTTGAAACCCAGTGAGAACAGCCTGGCTGAGCCTGGTCAACTCTCAGCACCGAGAGAGATGATATGTTATTGTTTTAAGCCACTAAATTGGAGGTGGGTAATGTGCTGTCTAGCACATAGTAGGTAACCAATAACTATTAAGTGAATGGATGAGTGAGTGATATAAATCTGACTCTTCAAGCAGGGATGCAGCCTGTCATTCTTCCTAAATGTGACATTTAAATACTCAGGGACGAAGCGTACGGAAGAGGGCCGATGGAATAGTTTGAGAAACACTGGATTAGAGGGTTAAAGTGGGAGAGCCTGGGAGATACCGATCGAGTTGCAACCCTTTACACTATAGGTTAGGAAAGTGAGGCCCGTAGGTGAAGAGTTGCCTAAGGAAACAAAACTCATGTGGACTCTACTTAGGAACGACTCTTCCTGTCAGTGCAGTGGAGTAGGGACAAAATGGTCCCACTCATGTCACCGTATTTCAGCTAATTCCATATGCAGGCCTCTCACCAGGTGGCCCTCTCTTCCTGTTCCATCAAGTCTCCGTGTCCAGCTAGCAGTTCCCCAGGAGACCTCTCAACAGGAGACTCCCACAGAGGACAGAAAATTGCTTACTAGCCTGACGCTCAGACTAAGCTCAGTTCTAAACACAGTGGCATCTACAGCGGCATCTTGGGCCTTCGGTGTTAAAACATTTCCTTAAAACCAAAACATCTGGAAGGTATTGGGGAGGGACACAGATTTTAGGGTTCCTCCAGTCTCATGTTACAAATGCATTTCTCTTCCTCCACGTTAGAGGTAGACAGTGTGATCTGAAGTTTGATTCGGTTCTTAATACAAGTCAAATTCCGGGGTCAACATTTTTACTTTTCAAAATCCATCACAGCTTATCCCACGGCTTCCTAATCAAGTCTCCACATCCAACAACCACTTCGACAGTTGGAAAAAAGTTTTATCTAATTATCTTCTCCTGCTCTGAATTGACCAACCGCGAATCTTCTCCGGTTTTATCAAAGGGGCCGCCAGGACAAAAGCACAGGGTCTGAGGGTAGCGTTAGCTAGCAGACTCCAAATTGATCATGCATTTTAGTTTCAGTAACTTGCAATTTCTACACCCTTTGATAATACACTTTAAAGAACAAACTGTCTTTAATGACAAGGCTTGAAAGAGACGACCTTTCTGAACAAAATATGAAAGCAGAGGAGAGAGAGTTCTTTAAAGAAAATCGTGAATTAAGATGACCTTGTGTTCGGAAACTTTTTCCCCACCATTTCTGATGTTTTACCTTTTTCCTTCCACTCCTAGAAAGAGAACTGAGGCGCCCGGCCTTCTGGGACAGTGATGTACTTCAATAGGGGGGCTGTTAATTGTTCATCCAAACTCAGCTTCCTCTTTCTGCACTTTCTCTGCAGATTCCCTTAATGACACTGCTCACCACTATAAACCTATGCCTGTTTCTGAAAAAAATCACTGTCAATATGCGACATTGCAGGATCGTGTTTGAGTCTGAGCTATTTCCTTTGTGTCACAAGTCAATTCTCTGGTACAAACTATGAGGCAAGTCCGTCCATTCTGTTCCCTCCCTCTCAGTTCCCTTTTCCCCCCTTTGTGCCCTGGAGGGCTACCCACTGAGGAGCTGCCTGTTGAGTGGGGAGGCTGCAAACTCAGGGTCAGAGCCCTGGAGTGGCCCACTGCTTGGTGACGCAGGAATGGTGGACTCCAACAGAACCGGGACACGTAGATGAGTGACAGCTAACTGTCATGGTGATCCTTTTCATGCCCCACCCCGTAACTGGAGAGTAACGCACACCAAGACCACCGTGACCCCACAGCTCTCCTGCTCAGCTTGCTGCTAACACTGTGCCACCTATTACCTGTTGACAATCACGTGTTGAGATGGCAAAAGCACAGGTGGGCGACTCAGGTGCAGCAGCCAATAATAATAACTTGAAATGCAACTAAATTAGGTGCTTGTCATGAACAATTGATCTTCCACCCGATACAAGAAAGGATGAAACCGTGGGTGACTGTGTAATCGCGCACGATGTTTATAATTTACTTCCTAAGCACTTGCTCTCTTTCAGTAGCCATATGTTCGCCATAAGGAATTTTAAACACGCCAAGCGTAATCTTCCCCTCTCTTCCTTATCAGAGGACGTTCACAGGAACCTGAGTGTCAGCCCCCGACTCCTATCACATGCAATCAGGCTGACCTAAAGTTTCAGCCTGTCTGCTTCCAGACGCACACGACACACTTCAGAAAGGAAACAGGACCTGGGGAATGTCAAAGGTTCACCAGTGTTTATAATTTCATAACCCCTGAAATGAGGAAGAGAAAGAACAGCCGGCACCCTTCCAAAACACCTACTGGTACTTACTCATGGAAAACAAATATTCCTGCGTGGGAGTTCCAGGGCCCATGCACAACGCGATTCACAAAGCGTGTTCAGTTCGTGCAGTGGCCGCCTTCCTAGGGAAATCTGTGAGCTGCCACGCGCTTCCCACCATATGCAGAGAAGCGCTGAGAAGTAATCACGTGGCCTTAATCCTTCCCTTCCGAGCACTAAACCCGAGTCTGAGCACCAGTGTCCTCATTGGAGGGGCGGTTTACAGCATCTGCTACAACCTTGCTTTCCCCTGACTGTTCCCTAAGCCAGGGCTATAATTTACTGTATGCCCAAGAAAAACCTCATCCTTCACAGGATGGAGACACGTTTCTGGAGGAGGGTCCGGGTGAACCTGACCAGGCAGAGCGGGGACGGGCACAGACGGCTTAGTGCCAGGATGCCAGGCCGCCTACTGACGGCCGGGAGGCGGTGTTGAGGCCGACCTGCCCCAGCTCTGCAAGTGGCTGTAAAACCTGTTGCGTTCTTATCATCTCCTGTCTCAGTTACAGTGCAGAAAAGGGTAATTAATCCTCGGGCAGCAACAACAGAGCTGGGCGTGGGAAAGAGAAAAGCATTTTGAGGAAGTGTAAATAAATAGACGTCTGGCCCTGTCCTTTCACAGCAACCCAAGACTAGAGCCCCGCCCACGGCCCAGACTTTTAGTGTCTCACAGGGCCCCTGGCAAGCACCACGACGCAGTCAAAGCATATTGAGCATCCGTCCACTGCGATTCAAAATTTCCTCAACCAGTCGGGGTTAACCAATCAGCATTTAATAGCATATTGGCATCGGTAGAGACTGAAACATCCACGCATGGGAGCAACACCATATTATCTCAACGCGAAAACAGGACCCATCAAAGCTCATCACGCTATCACTTGCCAATGTGTTGAGTGTCTTTCCCCAAACACTCCCACTTAAAAAAGTGTCAATCGATATTATAAATAAACCACCATAAAAAGAGAGATCAAGGAAGTAACAATAAAACCATAGCTGCTACCTAAAATTCTTCTGTCCCTGGAGTCCCAGGATCAGATTAGATACCAACATGACAAGTACTTGGACAGATATCAGACGACCCTGGGATTTTTATTCTAAATAAACACACTACTTATGGATTTGATCTCTGACACTGACATAAGGTATTTTCCCCCAGAGTATAATTTGAGACTGTCAGTACTTTCTAGGGAAAAATACCATGGAGATGTCATATTTGTTTTAGCAAATGAGGTGCAACAAAACGTAGAAATAAAATTGACAAGTACAACACAATCTTTAATAAAATATGAATATGAACAGGAAAACAATAGAAACACGTTAAAAGTTTGATATGATACTACAAAACGTGATTTTGATCATACGCAACTGGTAAAATTCTATGCAAAAGCAACAGATAGGAAATCATTCCGTTTCGCGATATAAGCAATTCTCGGTACACACTCACACACCAATATGGAAATCAAAAATAAAGGAATGCTAAAAAATAACTTAGGCAGACACAAATAAAACCACCCCACCAGTGTATGAGTGATGCATGTTTTTATGGTCTTAATTACATTTAACTATTAAAAAATGCCACTGATCTCAACAGTTTACGTTAAACTATCCAACTCTTCAAACCTGCTAGACGTCCACAGTACAGCCCAGACATGATCCATCTATGCTCTGTGTTACTCCGGGAAGTCCTCACAGTTACCTGAAAATCAAAAATCTCAGTTAGGACCTTCTCTAGGTTCAACGGGCATGTCAATTATAAAGCATGTTCTCATTCAAGAGGAGTAGGACTGAAGGATATTAAAAAGAATATTTAATATCAAAACATCATTTGTGCCTACGAGGGGTCAGCTCCTAACCATGCCCAGCAACAGGGTCTTCACAGGGTCTTACTTTAACCTAATGCTGTATAAGTGGCTCAGTCGTTCACTGCACTGAAAGGAGGGCGGTCTGACTACATAGAGCAGGCAAACATGGTCTACATCTGCCATGTCGCTGGGAACCTCTGACAGAAGGTCCTGTGCATCCTGGGAAGTACACACTGGGGCACCGAAGTCTCAGTGAATGTTGTGACATCACTGATGTGTCCATGCCCCCCCAGCACAGTCAGTGGCCCCTCCTCTTTTATCTGTTTTAGGCTGGAGAACATCTATAACAGCTCCAAACCTCCAGGGGACACAGGACTTTGAAGATGTGGCCTAACATAGTAAGAATTGCATCATCTCACTATCTTAGAAGGTTGACACTGCCTTCTTAATCCTGCAACTGGGAGACAAGACAACATCTTGTCGTGACAACACAGGTGGGGCCCGAGCTTGCCAGGCGCCTGCAGATTCCCTCATCTCGTTCTGATCGTCCTGACTTACAAGAGGGGGTGACCTCTCAGACAGGCCACTTACTAAAAATAAGCCTTGCTTTCAAAATTGGTATTACGTTTAAGAATTTTAGTAAAGGCTTTAATGTCAGACCAGGAGACCCGCGGGTGCAAACCAACGCAAACCGACCAGAAGGCATTCCCAAGGGCTGTACCTTCTGCCTTGGTATGTGGTCAGCTCTTCCTGAAGGATGGACGCTCTCTTCTGCAGGAAGTTAACCTGGAGAAGACACCTTGTATGAGAAGAGGTGACGCGGTTTACGTGGCGAACGGTAGGGTAGGACTTTATTTAAATTCAGGCAATTCTCTAGATAAAACCCAGAGGCTTTGCTGAGCGTCAGCACTGTGTTTTATACCCCATCACAGAGTCCCTACTGAAAACCCGTGAGAGGCTACAGGGCCCAGTTCAAACTCCTGACTGCAGAGCCATTTGGATCTGCCCAGCCTCTCTTCGGCTTCCTGCCCCTCGCGCCTCCCACCATCCGCACCTTAGGTACCATGTCTTTCGTACTCTTGCCCGCTGGCACAGGCTGCTCCTCTCCTTGGAATGGCTGGCTAACTGTCCCCTATTCATTCTCCACTACGTGGCTCAACCATCACCTCATCTACTGAACTCTTCGACCCCTCCCCACTGCTCATTGCACTCACCCTGGGCGCAGCCAGCAGCCCCCTCCTCTGCATTCCTGGGCTCTGCTCATTAGCACTTCTTGCACGGCCTTATGGTTGTTTGTTTTCCTATCTCTGCCCCAGACCTGGAGCTCTCTGGGGGCATGGATGACACTTACTCATCTCTGATCCCAGTTCCTTTCACAGGCCTGGGCTTGGAGCTGGTTAATGAGGGAACAAGTAAGTGGAAAGAAAATTACGGCCTTCTGGAAACCTCAACCCATCCTGGGGATTCCCTGAGGTTGAAGAGACAGTATTTTATAGTGGAAAGAGCCTGAGCTTTGTCTGGAATAAGGCCAACATGAGTTCAATTCCTGGTTTGGCCTTTACGGTGTTAGGAAAGTTACTCAAACTCTTGATGCCTCATTTGCAAATGAGGTTAATGACAGCTGCTTCCGAAGGTTATGATGAGGAGACATGACTAATAGAACTGCCTCCCTTGTGCAGAGCTTATAGCTGGTACCGTCCCATGTGTGCCCCACTCTCAGGGCTGGAGGAAACTAGGCAGCTTCGCATCTTCTCTTATGTCAGGCCTTTACGATGTTGATTATTTTAAAGCATACATTTCTATTATAAATTCAAAAGCACCTCACAGGACCAAGCAGAAATGGTTTGGGATAGCGTATACTATGGCTTGATGCAATCGAGAGTCAGTGGTATTCGATCATTTTGGAACTGTTTACTCCTGCCTCTTTGGTCTGAACTGAAACCATGGCAACGCTTGATCCTGAGACATAGTTAAGCAAGAGAGGACAGCTGGCAGAACAGCGAATGTGCCTGCAGGACAGGAGAGCAAGTCTTTCTAAATGGGTACACAGCCAAGTGGTCCCCTCGGCTTTGCTTATTTGTATTATCACTGTCGTCTTAATTTTATCCAATCGCTCAAATGACCCGCAGGACAATTGATCATGCTGACAGATGCAAGGGTTACACTGACTCCACTTCCCCTCCCCCACCGTGCTTTGCATTCGGAATTCCAACAATTTTCAAAAAACACAGGCACCTGTGCTTTCCAACTAAATTTGCTCACTCTGCGGCCTGAGACTCCCCCGCGCAGCTGCCAACGCTGAGGCCCTCACGCAGCTGGCAGCACTCTTTCTGGGTCAACATCCAGTTCCAGGAGGCCAGAGTGGCTTTTATTACAGAGAAATGATATGAATGATAACAGAAGCCCTGCAGGTGGGTATCAGATTTCTTCCTTTCTTTTCTAAAAAAAACTCTTCTGAAGGTGCCAGGTCCTACATAGCTGACCCTATGGAAGCTCTCCTACAAAGTTAATGGGTACAGCACACCTCCAGGAGAGCTTTCCACGTAAATAAAGGGGACTTAACCCTCTCTAAGCAAGCACTCTCCTGCAGTACTTGTTTTTATGTACGGGAGACCACGGCAAAACTTCTCAACCCACAGAAGCAGTAGCAGAAGGATGGACAGAATGAACATTTCATTTTCAGACAAGAGGCTTTTTACTGAGGGAAGTATGAAAGCAACGGCTAGCATTTGCTCCACATTTCATCTTGCACATTATAAAGAGCTCATGTGAGTATCATCAAACTATAACATCTGTTTCAGTTGAAAATACACTTACTGAGCCTCTACTATGTGCCAGGCACCACTCACGCCACAGAGAGCAAAGGCATCGTTCCCTCACGGAGCTTTTCCACACAAAAATGTGTGTTTCTTTAAGTTTCCTAAATAATTTGCAAATATTTTCTCCTATTCCATAATCTGCCTTTTCAGTTTCTGAATGGTGTCTTTTGAAGTACAAAATTTTACATTTCGATGAAATACAATTCATCTATTTATTTCTTCTGCTGTTGTGATTTTGGTCTCATCACTAAAAAAACCTCTTACCTTACCCAAGGTATAAAGCTTTACCTCTTTATCTGAGATTTTTTTCTTAGTTTTCTTCTAAGAGTTTTGCAGTTTGGGCTCTTATGTTTAGGTCTCTGATCCATTTTGAGTTAACTTGTGCATAACATGTGAATAAGGGCTCCAACTTCATCTTTTGCATGTGGATTATCCAATGATCACAGCAACATTCTTTCTATCTTTTCCTCATGAATTGTCTTGGAACCCTTGTTGAAAATCAGTTGACCACACATGTAAGCAATTTTTCTGGGCTCTCAATTCTATTCCATTGATCTGTACATCTCTTCTTTAACCAATGTCACACTGTCTTGACTATTAGCGCTTTGTAGTAAGTTTTGAAATTGGAAAAAGTGAATCCTCCAAATTTATTCTTATTTTTCAAAATGGTTATTGGCTATTCAGGGTCCTACCTATTTTTTTTTTTTAATCAATCTCAGCCGTACAAGGAGAGGGAACATAATTGTTGTGGGGAAAAAATGTACTTTTTAAATTTCTAAGTGTGTTAGAAATAGAAATATGTGAACTCTTTCTCATGTTAAGAGTTAAAAAACTCATTAGACTAGTGATACAGAAATATAGAAGTATATATGTTTATAGAACTTTCAAAGTATATAGAGGAAACTTATGTTGGAAGTTTTAAAATAACTTTAAGTGTATAAATTTAAATCAGTTTTATCTCTTATATTATACTTTATAAACTACCAAGAACTACACATTTCAGCAAGAAATGTTTAACCTAATTGTTTGAATACCTTGTCATTATCTGCCTTGAATTAAAATGCACCAGAGTAAAAGTGCTTCGACTTTGCTGCGCTTCCCTGTCTGTTCACGTGCACACACCGAGGAGTGGCATGTGCTAAGCAACAGCATTTTGGGCCAGGCACCAATAAAAGGGGGAGGTGTATAGGAACGTGGGCTGTAAATGAATAAAAGTAGCCACAGCTTGTCAACGTCAAGGGTTCTTCTAAGAAAATCTTATTGATGCAATGAATCCCTGAACTAGTATGAAAAAATTTCTAAAAAACAACAACAAGCAAAACCCAGTGCATCCTGGGGTGCAGGACATGCGATGACATCACATGGATTCTGGTGTCAGTCCAGAATTGACCCCATTTGCAAGCGTTTTCTCAGGACACACGCATCGCCTGGACCTCGGGAGCGGCCGTGGTGCTGGAGATTACCTGTGACTTCAGGGAGGAAATGGTATCTTCGAGTTCCTGTCTTAGGGATACTGGCATCAGCCCTTTGAATTTTGCTTCGTACTCTTGTCGGATGTAAGTCATCTAAAGTGGAAAGATGACAGCTTATTTATTGATTTGTACCACAGAAACCATTGCTTTGAATTTAACAAATCCCAGGATAATATCTATTCATCACAAAGGTAAGTTTGTTACATGTGGCTGAAAACCAGATAATAAAGAGGAAACACAGTTACGAGCCGAAGAAGTACCCAGCGAGTCCCTGTGAGTCTGGGAGAGGGTGTGCCTATGCCAACACTTCATTTCTTTAAAATCCTGGGTGACGCAGTTTTCGGCGTTAGAGAAGCACAATACCTGTGCTCTCCTCTCCATCACAATGCACACCTGTGCTAACCCTGTGCCCTTTTCTTGACCAGGATTTGGATTGTGATCACAACAAACTGTGACTGGAAGACAATTTGAAGCATGCCATTGGTTTAAGACACTTCCCCAAAAGATCTAGGTACTTGGGTGCTCGATAGAATCCATGATCTGTGAAGATTTGAATGAAGGAGAATCTACACCACTGTCTCCAAGTCTCCTCACCCTGGGTAGACAGAGCGCCTGAGTCACGGAGCGCACCTCTGGTTCATGGGTTTCTCTCTCCCTCCAGATACAATCAGGCCTGCGCTCAACAGCTGATGGCCACAGGCCGGTAGGGGAAAGGTTGGCGGCTCATCCCACTCATCTCTCTAAGGGCTAAAGGTAGAGACAAGTGAGGAAGGTGGGAGAGAAGTCTCTGGGGGAATGTGTCCGAGCAGGATGAAGAGGTGCGTGAGCGAGAGCATTACGCTGGTGTGTGCGTCTTGGTGTCCTTCTCTAGCCATCTTTCTTTATTTCTCTTCCTCCTAATCTGAGACACAATAGAATTTAAAAATCTGTTGCATGGTGCCGTGTATGACTTAATTGAATGTTAAAGCTGACTCGTAGTGTATCTTGTAAATGAGGATTCAGTGGACATCTCTAGAAAAAAGGGAATATACTATGAAAATATGCATAACCAAGTTCAGTTAGACAAGTCTATGGATTTACTGAGGACAACTTAAAATTACTAGGCTTTAGTCTCCAACTTTTATTTTACTCAACTGAATTCAGAAAGAAGTGTGTTCTTATAGTTCATTTCATTACCTACTAAATCCCCACGGTAAACATGCTAGAATACAATTTTTCACTTTTTTGGGAAAGTGGTTTTTTTCTAAGATATGTTATAATTTTGTTATTTATACCTAAAAGAAAAACAAATAATGAAAAAGGTTCTCTCCCATTGGTGCAATATTTGATTTTCCCCACCATTTTTTCTTGGACTTAAGTCTGATAGTTACATCTGTCAGCTGACTCAAATGAAAGGCAAAGGAAAACACATGCTTTATAAATCAGACCTGAAGGGCAACATTTATTGAGGATTCACAGGCTACTATACTGACTATATTTTCCTATCACACAACACTGGCTCTGAAATTCTGAGCTACTACTCTTTTAAAAAGGATGCATGTCTGTTCATTTGTTGTAAACTTGTTTGTTAAGAAAGCACTTGCCGGTACCTCTGAAAGACAACTTGGCTGGGTATAAAAATGCTTCAATCCCACTTTCTTTCTCTTAGTACGTAGAGGCATTTTTTTCAATGTCTGCTGGCATTACATATAGCCATGGTGGAGTCTGGAGCCAGGCTAAAATTTCTCCCATGTTGAATGTGACCTGCTTTCTCTGCTTGGATGCCTGTATGATTTTCTCTTTCCTTGATCAGTGGCTTCACTGGGACACGTTTTGGTACTAATTATTCTATATCAGTTTTCCTGAGACATTGTGTGTGCCCTTCCCATCTTTAAATTCAACTCTCTGAAGAAAAGTTTCTTCTGTTCAAAAAATTATTTGTATCCTATTATTATTGTTCTACGTGTTCATATCATACATGGATCTTTTTGTATTTATATTCTTCTCCAGGAACATAAATGTTGCATGTATAGGCTGTTGTGTGATAATCTTCTGTAATTACAATTTTATCTATTGTTTTACTTTCTTATAATTTTATATCTATTTTATATTTTCCTTTCATTTTGTGGGATTTCCTTTAGTCTGGTCACTGTATTTCCTTGGATGTTTTCAGTTATGATTTTTCTATTTTTGTTGCTTCTAATATGGTTTCAATCTCTGTAACCTTTTGATTTTTGTCTCCTATTTCTCCTCAGATCTGAGAGATCACTTTTCATCTGTCTGTTGACTTATACCATCTTTAAACACACAGCTCTTCTTTTTTCTTCTCTACCTCCTACACCAGCCTTTTCCCTGACAGAGAGAGATGTGAATGTTTTGTAAATGCTCTGACATTGTGAAGTACTGTTTGTTATAAAGAACTATAATTTGTCTGAACCTTCCCTCTATTTCTTGGGTAACTTCCCATTTAATCTATGTTTTTATTTTCTTTTTTCTTACATTCCTTCTTTCTCTCTCAGTCTTATGGTAGTTCCCTTTTCTTTTAAAAAAATTAAACCTAATTTTTTAATGGAATCAACTATTTGCTGAATATTGAGGTAGGGAGAGCCAGCTCTTGGGGCCCATGTGCCCTCATTTTTGAGTACTTTGGAGGTCAAGCCCAAGCAGTCAAGCCCTTTGGTTAATGCTCATAGTTTTCTCGACACTTTAATTTTTCTTGCCCCCACTTCACTTTTCACATTGGCTGGTCTCCCTCTCTTGGACACTAGGCCATAGACAGCAGAAAATTGAGCAAGGTTGCTCTTTAATCACCACTAGCCCTTACATCACTTTTTAAATTCAGTATGCGTATTTTCCAACTTTTAGTGAGGATTTAGGCATCTCTACTTCCTGTCTACTCCTTTCTTCTTCGTTTTTATCATTTCAGTGAACTTAAAATGAGCACTTGGAAAATCTAAAACTACCTCACCCACAAGTGAGACTATCAATCAGAAAAATATTACTACTCTGAATCCTTAAACTCAAATCCTGAATTTAAAAATCATTACACCAAGCAGAACCTGTTACCTTAGTAAAGACATGGAAAACTGTAACCAATCTAGTTTACTCTATTTGTAAGATGTTACTACTAGCAAACACTTGAGTATTTTCTATGTGCCAGATACAATTCTAAGTGTTCTAATAAGTGTTGAATCCTTCTGACATCCCAAGGAGTAAGCACAGAGCACTAAGCCATGATTTGAACTCAAGTAGTCTGACTCCCAAGCACATATATTCTTTGCCACCATGCTCTGCTGTATCTCAAATAATCTTTCCAAATGCTGAAATGTTTCTTCCACCCCAAAAGGAAAAGGAACTCACAGGGACAACCAGTTGGCGCAGTTTTATCCACTAAACACTGAACTATGCCTGACTACGTGTCTCTGGGCTCACCTAGCCAGAGCTATACCTGCTCTAGGTCAGAGAGAGAAACGGGGCGAGGGAGCAGAGCACTCTCAGCCTTCCAAGAGAAACTGGGTTCCTCCTTTTACCAATCAGATAAGTGGTAATTAAGATTAACTTGGCTTGGTCCAATTGGACATATGTTAAAGTAAAACTGTTTATGGATTACCTTTGGCTGCTTTGGCATGACAATGGCAGAGCAGAATGGTCTTGACTGAGACGCTGTGGCCTGCAAAGCCTAAAACATTCGCTATGTGGCCCTTCACAGGACACTGGCTGAGGCCCCACTAGACTGAGCGCCACAGGTGAGGACTGTGTCTCCCCTGCTGGCTGCTGCAGCCCAGCCTCAGCATGGCGCCTGGCACACTGTCGCAGTATGTGCTGAGTGAGTGAATGGATGAGTCCCAACCTCAGAGCACACGCGTGTTGGTGTTAAGTCAGTCTTTGTCTTAAGATGACAGGATCTTCAGTGTCCCAAGTAAACCAATCATAACCTTTCCCTGAATACAAAGAGCTGAGCCTGTCATCACTGTGGCTATTAATAAGCAGGCCGGCTTCAAAGCTGCGAAAACCAGAGGCGAACACCGGCCTATGGGCTGCTGAGATCAAAGGTGATCTTAGAGATTTCCCCCGAAGGGGGGGAGCTTCATCCCCGCTCTGCTCCCTCCTCTACACTTTCTCCTCACTCACTATCTCACTGGATTTGCAGGGCTGCGACAGGAAAGGAGTCACGCATCTATTACTTTCCTGAAATTAAATGCCAGCTCTTTTCTCACTAGAATATATAAACTTTCGGTTACTATTTCTACTGTTTTTCCTCCTAACAATATCATTCTTAATGTTTTTCTTCTCTTAGGTTGATATACACTATGAACACTCCCGTCCGTCGAGGAAAGGCTGGTGTAAGTCTTGAAGGGTGTGGCCTGCGCCGAGATCCCAGGGGCAGGGGATGAGGGTGGCTGAGTGGGGGCGTCTGGGAGGCACATGTTAGAGAACATGGACACTTGGAGGGCCAGCTTTATACGAGTCAGAGGCGGGCAGCTTGTCCCACTTCCAAGGAACATCTCTGAAGGGTCTGGAGAAAACGCCCCGGGATGGGGGGGAGGAAGGACAGGGTGGTTGTCACCTCTGTTTATAGTGCCCGACCTTCCTTTCAGAGAGAGGGAGGATTGGGGCCCTTCTGTAGATTTCCTGACAGGTAATGTCTGTCAACACACGACCAAACTCCAAGTAAGGGGAATAAAGGACTCCTGAGACTTAACAGACTATTGAGTAAGACCCAAGGAGACTTACGGAGTGAGACGGATGTGCGGTAAGGCTGGTGGGGGCTGGGGTCCATTTTATGTTTCCTCTGTGTACACTGAAGGTCGGAACGCTTGGCACACAGTAAACATTGTCTTAACGAGTTGACGACGGACTAAACCCAGGGTTGAATAGGTAGGTGGCACTGTGAAATCATGGAGGGCAGTAAAAGTCCCGCCAGCAAGTTTCAATATAATGTAGCAGGAAACAGAAGGTCAAGAGAAAACAATACTTCCAGACACCTGACCCAGGCCAGGCACTGTATTAAGGAATGCATACATAATCTTCCACATTCTGTTAAGATCTGTTTAATGCTTAGATAAAATCTGGGACAAAGAGAGCATCACGCCCATTTCACAGATGAGGAGACA